TGGATTCAGAGACGGTTGAGGGGCCTTGTTACACTAGAAGAGCTCTGGAGCTGTTGACTGGAGGCCTGAACTGAAATTCAGATCCAGCAGTAACTCGCTTGTGTGATCTCAGGCAACTCACTTAATCTTTTTTTCTATTTCCTTACATGTAAGATAGCTGTAGAAATTGCCATCTTGCTTCCACTCCACTATTGCTATGAGAAGCAAATGAGATGTGTGTGAGTGACTGAGGAGCAATGATGTCAATATAAGTGTAAGCTGTGTTCATCTCAGGGTACCCAAGGTCTGGTAGGGCATATCTGCCAATGATTTATTTATGCACCTGGCCATCTAGCACCCTGAAGAACGGCTTATTTTAGAAAAAGAGAAAGCTGAAGTATACAAGTTTGGTTCAAGAGTAATGGCCATTGGGAGGGTATCCTGATTCTGAGCACAATATGACTTTCTATCCTGGGGGAGGGATGGGTTGTGGGTAGTTTCCAAGTAATAAGCAAGCAGATACTAAAAGTCATCGCTTCTTTCAAATGCCTGGCAAACGTTGAGACCACATGGAAATTCTCAGCAGGTTGGTGGCGGCAGTTGCAGCAGCAATAAGAAATGACCTCTGGTGTCATTTAGAGCACGTTAATAAGTTATGACCAACGTAGACAGCATATTAAAAAGCAGAGACATTGCTTTGCCAACAAAGGACTGTCTAGTCAAGGCTATGGTTTTCCAGTGGTCATGTATGGATGTGAGAGTTGGACTGTGAAGAAAGCTGAGCGCTGAAAAATTGATGCTTTTGAACTGTGGTGTTGGAGAAGACTCTTGAGAGTCCCTTGGACTGCAAGGAGATCCACCCAGTCCATCCTAAAGGAGATCAGTCTTGGATGTTCATTGGAAGGGCTGATGCTGAAGCTGAAACTCCAGTACTTTGGCCACCTCATGCGAAGAGTTGACTCATTGGAAAAGACTCTGATGCTGGGAGGGGTTGGGGGCAGAAGGAGAAGGGAACGACAGAGGATGAGATGGCTGAATGGCATCACCAACTTGATGGGCATGAGTTTGAGTAAACTCCGGGAGCTGGTGATGGACAGGGAGGCGTGCTGCGATTCATGGGGCTGCAGAGAGTCGGACACGACTGAGCGACTGAACTGAACTGAACTGAACTGAACGCCCCTTTATCATGTGAACTCTGGCAATCACGTCACAGAAGAGATCAGGGCTCTTGAGGGACGGTGGGCGTGCCAGGGAGCCTCACCAGTGATAGCTTTGGTGGGATCTTTTTTTTTTGGTGGGATCTTGATAGCTGCAACAACTGGAGATTTTTTCAGAGTGAATAAAAGTGGGAAAGGAGAGAAGTGTTTCCTGAAAAGAAAGTTAGTTCAAGGAGCATGTGGAGGACAACCCTAGGAGATAACTGCTATGACAGATTTGAAGGTGGATGGAAAGTATGGTCGGAAAGCCCCCTCAGAGAAACTGGGGAGCAGAGCACCCCTATTCCTGGGGTGTTAACCATTTTATGATTTTTACTATAATCTTAATTTTATCCCAGCAGGAAAGGACAGGAAACTTGAGTGGTATTTCTTAGGTAGCTATGAAAATGTAAGGGATCATTATGAAGGCATTTTACAAGTTCATTTGTGCTTCTATATGCTAGGTTGATCTCAGAATGTGTAGAAAGCAGGGACCCAGAGCCAAAAAGCTTTTATTTTCTTGTTCAAAACAAAGCTGCACTGCATACTTTTGGATCTCAGATTTGTTTCTTCGAGTTTTGCTAGGTTTTCATTTGTGTGTCAAATTGAAGCTTTGTAATCAGAATATTCAAATACTGAAGTTAACTGTGTCATCAAAGTGAATAGAAAATGCAGAAAACTGTAATAACTTAAAACCAGGTTACTGTGCATTCATTCAACAAATATTTGCTGAAAACACAACCAGGCAAAGTGCCAGGAAGTCACTCATTTATGTATTTGCTTAAGGAACATTTAGTGAGCACTTTGTTCTTGTCACTGGGGTACTGTGGAGACAAGAAAAACAATGTCACTGATCTCACGAAGCTTAATTTAAATGAAAAGAGCAGTCAAACCAACAAAGAAACAAATATTACATAACAGTAAGTTCCATGCAGAAAGCTTATTAAGGGAAATATGACAGGGGGCAACTAGGAGGCTGCTTTAGACTAGAACATCAGAGGAGGTGACTTTGCTGATACTGGAATGCTGAGAAGGATTCAGCCATTCAGAGGGAGGTTGGGGGTCAGAGCATTTGAAGCAGAGAACATGAGGACAAAGCTCATGGATCCTAAGACTGGGATGAACTTGACCTATTGCATGAACAGAAAGGCCTTAAAATGAGGTTGGCATGGCATGAGGTTAAAAAAGAAGGCATGGATCAGATTTTGTAGGACTTTGGAAATCAGGTGAAAGGGTCTGTGTTTTATTGTGACTGTGATCTGTGGTTGTTGTGCAGAGAAGCACTCTGGGTTGCAGGAGCAGAAGCAGGGTGCTGTGACAATAACCTGGCTGAGAAGTGATGAAGGGGTGGCCATTGATGATAGCAATGAAGATGGGATAGAAGGATTCAGGATATAAATTAGCAGGTAGAGCTGACTGGATTTGCTGATAAGGTCCTATGTGGGGGGGAGGGGTATTAGAAGAGAAAGGACTGAAGGGTAACTCCTTTAAGATAGAATGTGAACCAAGATAGACATGATCCTGAACTAAAATCTATTCATAAATCTGAAGCGATATTTGGAGGGACCATCTCATCCTGGGATCCTCTCCTCTATCTTGGGCAGGCTGTTTAGCAGGGGAAAGGGTCAGGTTTGTACCCAGAGCCACCTCATTCCCATTCTCCCCTCCCCTTATTCCTAGAGCCTACAAAAAGATACAGTTTTGTTCTTTAGAAAATGCAAGAATAAAAGGGAAACACTGTGTGTGAGTTCCCAGAAATTGCTTGCTTGCCAGGCTCCTGCAAAGAGCCTATTCTTTTTATCAGCCAGAGGGTCCACTGAAAGGAGCAACAGCCTTCCTTTCCCATGAGTGTGCCAGCCAGGAGGTGGCAATGCCGTTTCCTTTTCTCTTCCTAGTATTATTACCTTGTGAGCCTGCCTTCACTCACAGTTGAGAAAGGGTTGAGAGAATTAATCTCATGGGATTTGGTCTGAAGACCCTGAGTTTGACCTCTGACTCCACTACTTAGTAGCTGTGTGTGCATGACCTTAGGTAACTTTCCTAGGGCTTGGTTTCTTTACCTATAAAATCTAGTAACACCAGCTGGCGTTTCCCCATCCCTGGTTCCCAGGAGTGATCAATATCCTGACTTCAAACACCATTGTCTAGTGCTACTTGTTCTAGACCCTCATGAAAATTGACTCTGTGTCTGGCTTCTTTTGTGTGTGTAATTCAGACTTTATTGTTTATTAGTTGCATCATTGGCTCAGTTGGTAGAGAATCCACCTTCAGTGCAGGAGACCTGGGTTCATCCCTGGGTTGGGAGGATCCTCTGGAGAAGGAAATGGCTGCCCACTCCAGTATTCCCACCTGGAGTATCCCCATGGACCGAGGAACCTGGTGGGCTGCAGTTCAGGTGATCACAAAGAGTTGGACATGACTAAGCACCGCACAGCATACCATTTTAAGTAAACAAACTTTGAGAACATATACTGGGAGTATTAAACAGATGATGGCAATATTGATGAAAATGTTCAAGTTTTACATAAGATAGTAAGAGACGCTACTGACACTATCATTGCCCCAAATTTGTACATTTCACATGAGTAAAAAGAGTTCGTGGCATCCTTCATAAGCCTATGAATCGTGATACACCTGAACAATTTCAAAACTTCAAAGCAAAAAAAGCATTTCTTCTACTAGCAATTTCAGTTTCCTTCAAAAATAAGCAACAGCAGAAACTAATGCAAGATCGTAAAGCAATTATACTGCAATTAAAAAGAGCAAACAGATTCAAAAAATCTATACACACAACTCCAAAACAAAAGTTGGCATATGCCAGTGGTCCTGAAATTTTTTTACATTTATTTTTTAAAATTTATTTTTAATTGAAGGATAATTGCTTTACAATGTTCTGTTGGTTTTTGTCATGCATCAACACGAATCAGCCATATGTATACACATGTGTGTCTGGCTTCTTTTGCTCAATATTGTGTTGTTTGGAACTGTGGTTTTTTTTTTTTTTATTTCTTTGTATGAATTCATCTCAGTTTCTCTATTCTTTTGCCAGTGGGCACTTGGCTTGGTTCCCAGTTAAAATAATGCTTCTAACACACAGCACCTGGCTTGTGGTGACCGTGTTTACACCAGTACCATACTGTCTTGATGACTGTGGCTTTGTAGTATAGTCTGAAGTCAGGCAGGTTGATTCCTCCAGTTCCATTCTTCTTTCTCAAGGTTACTTTGGCTATTCGAGGTTTTTTGTATTTCCATACAAATTGTGAAGTTATTTGAGAACATACACTGGGAGTATTAAACAGATGATGGCAATATTGATGAAAATGTTCAAGTTTTACAGAAGATAGTAAGAGACGCTACTGACACTATCATCGCCCAAAATTTGTACATTTCACATGAGTAAAAAGAGTTCGTGGCATCCTTCATAAGCCTATGAATAATGATACACCTGAACAATTTCAAAACTTCAAAGCAAAACAAAGCATTTCTTCTGCTAGCAGTTTCAGTTTCCTTCAAAAATAAGCAACGGCAGAAACTAATGCAAGATCGTAAAGCAATTATACTCCAATTAAAAAGAGCAAACAGATTCACAAAATCTATACACACAACTCCAAAACAAAGGTTGGCATATGCCAGTGGTTCTGAAATTTTTTTACATTTATTTTTTAAAATTTATTTTTAATTGAAGGATAATTGCTTTACAAAGTTCTGCTGGTTTTTGCCATGCATCAACACGAATCAACCATATGTATACACATGTGTGTCTGGCTTCTTTTGCTCAATATTGTGTTGTTTGGAACTGTGGTTTTTTTTTTTTTTTCATTTCTTTGTATGAATTCATCTCAATTTCTCTATTCTTTTGCCAGTGGGCACTTGGCTTGGTTCCCAGTTAAAATAATGCTTCTAACACACAGCACCTGGCTTGTGGTGACCGTGTTTACACCACTTTGTGGAGTATATATCCAGGAGTGCTGGATCCTAGGACACATATAGGTTCAGTTTTAGTAGCTCATCTGAATTGTTTTCTAAAGCCGTTGGATCAATTTATGCTCCCATCAGCTCTGTACGAGAGCTCCAACCGTGCCCCACAACGACTTTGTATTGTCAGGATTTATGTTAGCCATTCTAATGATACTTATTGTGATATTTATTACAGCTTTAATTGCATTTCTATGACGACTAATGATGTTGAATATCTTTTCATGGGCTTATTAATTGTTTATCTACATTCGTAACTTAAATATTTTGCCTTGCAAATGAAATGAAGTAACAGTAGTAACTGTTCCAAGGGCTGTGGGGTGACAGAGGGAAGTAATGAGCGTTCAGCTTCTAGCATAGCATCTGCCTAATTTTAAGCGATTGGGACGTGCTGCCATAACAAATGACCACACACTGGGGTCTTAGAACACCACATTATCATCCATATGTTCTGGAGGGTCAGAGTCTGAAATGGGTTTCCCTGAGCTACAGTCCAGGTGTCAGCAGGGTTTCCTTCTAGATGTTCCAGGGAAGATTCCATCTCCCTGCCTTTCCAGTTTCTAGAGGCTGTCTGTATTCCTTGGCTTGTGGGCCTCTTTCATCTTCAAAACCAGCAACAGCACCACTTTGACCTCTAACCTGGACAATGGGAGAAGCATTGGGAAAGTTGGGGAACATTCCGGAGGGAAGCAGTCCAAGCCCGCAGGAGGAGTGGCAGGGTCTCTGGCCTGTTTGGGGGGAGTGAATAGTAAGGGATGCAACGGTGACTGGATTGACATTGGATTTTTGGCAGATCCGAAGCATTCGGAAAGTTTCTCTGAGGTAATAAAGAACTGTTATAGGCTTTGAAGGGGGTGATAACATGTTCCAAGAGATAGTGATTTGAGAATGTTAATTTAGCTCAAGGGCAGGACTGATAATGAAGATGAATGAGGCTGAGGACTAGGGGTCCAGTTAGATGACTGTTGCTTAGTGCTAGTGTGAGGTTAACAGGTGAATAACTGGGCTGAGGGAAATGGAAATGAAAGGAAGAGGCGGGTCCTTAAGAACTGAAGATGACTGGATGTGGGGGAGAAAGAGTGGAAGGATTAAAGAAAGCTTTGTCTCAGGTGACAGGTGTTACTATGAGGGGCAGGATCCAACACGGTGTGTGGCAGTGATGGAGTGAGTGTTAGCTGTAAAGATTTCATGGCAGTTTGCATCATGTCCACAAACCTGTTTTTAATACAGTAGTATCTGGTAACTTTGCAGTAGAAAAGAAACTCGGCTTGCAGTCGGCATAAGTCAGTTCTTTCAAATGAGATAAAACTCTAATACTTTAATACTTACTGAGCCCTTGAAAGATCTTCCCACTGTCATCTGTGGTATAAGCATTCACCTAGGGCAGGAGAGGGTGTTTTTTCCTCCCATGAAGTGCCTAGATGAAAAGAAGTTCTCTAATAATCAAAAGGAAGATAAAATTCTAATCCCTCTCTTGTCTTGAAAGGGAAAAAGGTGTAAAAGCACAGTGCAGCCTTCTCTTTCATCTGAACCCCCGAGGCCAGTGCACAAGGACTGGGGGTGAGCTGTGGGGATAATGAATGGAGCTACTCCTGAAGACACAGATGCATGTGGCTATATCATTCCAGAGGGGCATGGCAAGATCCCTGTTCATACCAGGGATGAACAGGTATGAGCTATTTGGTCTATTTGTATTCTAAATAGACCAAAAATACCAAATAGACCCCTAGGCCTGACATGGGGAGGGTGATCAGCATTCTTAAGAATTCCCAGAGAACATTTTAGTATTTGAGCACTTTTGCCAAACCACCAATTTGGCCCCCCTGAGCCAGGTGGAGTGAATGAGTGAGTGAGTGAGTGAGTGAAAGTTTCTCAGTCGTGTCCGACTCTTTGCAACCCCATGGACTATACAGTCCATAGAATTCTCCAGGCCAGAATACTGGAGTGGGTAGCCTTTCCCTTCTCCAGGGGATCTTCCCAACCCGGAGATGGAACCCAGGTCTTCCGCATTGCAGGCAGATTCTTTACCAGCTGAGCCACATTAAGTGTCCCAGGTCGTGCTAGTGGTAAAGAACTCACCTGCCAATGCAGGAGACATGAGACATGGGTTTGATCCCTGGATTAGGAAGATACCCTGGTGAAGGGAATGACAACCTACTCTAGTATTCTTGCCTGGAGAATCCCATGGACAGAGGAGCCTGTTGGGTTACAGTCCACGGGGTCACATAGAGTCAGACATGATTGAAGTGACTTAGCACACATGCACGAGCATCTTTGTTAGAGATGAATACAAATCCTTCTTTCTCCCACAGCTGGCTGATATGAATAGAGACCATAGCTAGAATAACCTCCATATATTTTCTTGACTCTCTCCAAAGTCACAGGGAGGGGGCCCATGTGGCCCTGGGAGCTGCAGTTACCTACTTGCACCCATCACTCACACCGAGGGTCTATGTTCGGTATGGCTTGTGACAGTCCTCCTGGGAGGCTGGGTACTGAAAGAGGCCCTGTGATGGGTTAGAGCTGACTTCTGCTCTGTCATTGCTTGATCTGATCATATGTCTCACAAGACCAGAAAAAAAAAAAAAGCCCCTAAGTCATCAGAGAAATTATTAGCTTTCCTATATAGATGTTATCCAAACTGGGGGCAGCTCCGGTTTATGCGTGTTTCTGGACATAATTAAGCATATCCTGGTTCAGATGATAAACAATACAGTCACCCTTCACTGTGCCATCCTGTCTCACTGCGCAGTTAATCTGTCTCTAGATATGGGTTAGCTGAACCCAGAGGTCCCTTGTGCCTGGAACTTCCCTTTTCCTCTGCCTGCAAAGGAGTCATCCTCGTGGATTCCATATTGAGAGAGGTGACTCAGACCTCAGACTGGTCCCTCCAGAGGGCCCCCGAGAGAGCTGCACCATGACTGGCAAGGCGCTGACTTGTTCTTCTGCTTATGCATGTGGGGGAATGAGACTTACTCATTTGTCTCACCTGTTGCCCTGAGTCCTGATCGAATTACTTAGAGGAAGTGTGTAAGTCTTGCTCAAACTGATTGCTGTTAGTATTGGGAGAGGGGAGGGGAGGGGAGGAGGTTGTCACCACCACGCTAGTCCTCTCAGGAGACTCCTGGAAGGCTGACCCTCAAGCCTTGATTCTTTTGTCCTAATTATGCACAGAGTCTAACAAGATACCAGAAGTATGTAGCAATTTAATGAGAAATAAATGCAATTACAAGAGCCTAAGAATGATTTCAATCTTGTGGCTGTGCTCCAAGCCTTTCTGGAATTTACTGAGCAGACCAAATTTTGTTTGGCAGCCAGAAATGCTGCTTGCAGTTTACCAACTCCAAAGCACCATTTTCCCCTCTGAGGTTATTTATAATTTTTTTTCTTTTATTAGGAATTAATTTTTTTCTTCTCTTATTAGGAATTAATTTTATAAAGCAGAGTCTTATAAAGGCATTTTTATAAGGAATTTTATGAAGGTAATTATTACCAATATTAAGATGAGTAATTATGACCCACAGTAAACTTAGAAAAATGATTTGCTTTCATGGGGAAGCAGCAATTATTGCTATCTACCTTGTGTAGTCTTCAGGCTTGCAATTAATTAGTCTTTGGTGGAAGGAAGCAGCAGCTTAGCTTAACATGGTTCCCTGGATTGATCATAGTCACATTTCTAGACAGAATCTTGAAGAATGTGTTTGTGTAAACACCTGTATTTAGAAGTATTGACATCCAATTCAGTGATTAATATAACTACATTAATAATGGCAGGAAAATGGTGGTAACACATTTAAACAATTTAGTATAACAAATATATTTTGGGGTTTTAAAAACCTTTTCTCAAAAAAACCCCAAAACAACCTTTTCAATTTGCCATCTCCCAACATAAATTTCTAGCTTCCATCAAAGATAAAAGCTATACTTTTTGCCTCCTCAATTTACTTAGTAATACTTAGGGATTACCTTGTGTTCTGTGAGAGCCAGGCAGCCTTTCAATTATTGAGCAAGTTACTCATCAAGGGGAGATCACTTTGGTGGTCCCCAGACTTTTTATGGAAGCCTTTCATTTATTTAGGTCTTCCCTTGTGGCTCAGCTGGTAAAAAATCTGCCTGCAATGTGGGAGACCTGGGTATGATCCCTGGGTTAGGAAGATCGCCTGGAGAAGAGAAAGGCAACCCACTCCAATATTCTGGCCTAGAGAATTCCATGGACTGTATAGTCCATGGAGTCACAAAGAGTTGGACAGACTGAGTGACTTTCACTTCATTTATATAAGGCAGAGTCTCTGATGGATTGTAAAAATGACCAGAAATTGCTGTATCACTTATATTTAAAGCTTTCAACATCACTTCATACCACCTCCCGTTAAGAAGAATCTCTCTCCTCCTTGCATCTGGACTTACCTTGGCCAAAGAGACAGTAGCAAGCAGAGACTTGCAAAACACTTGGGCATAAGGCCTTGCCCTCTTGCTGCTCTTGGGGACTTGAGCTGTCGTATGAAGCCTGGACTACCCTTCTAGGAGACAGGAAACAAATGGCTCAATCAACCTGGTCTCCCCAGAAGCTAGTTGACTCTCAGGAGCCCAAGTACCCAGCTGACTGGCTGTTGCTCATGTTTTTGTGAGTGAGCCCTACTCGGATCCAGAGAAAACCATCCAACTGAGCCCAGCCCATATTGCTGACCATCAGGACTGTGAGTTATATAACATTGGTGTTTTAGGCCACTAAGATGGGGGTGATTTACTACACAGCAATTTCAAATGATATACCTCTTTGCTGGCTTGAAATCTCTTGCATGGAGTGCCAACCCAAAGAGGAAGAAGCTAACTTACTTAACTAGGCAAATGCTACGTGCCAGACTCAATGCTTCATATACAGTATTTCATTTAAAGCTACAAAGTAGGTAGTTTCCATTTAAAAATAGGTAAACTGTGACTTAGGGACATTATTATCTTGCCTTGCAAGCGGGGTAGAACAAGGATTCCAAACTAAGAATTCCTAAATTCCTGTCTAATTTAGCTCTGCTTAGAAACAGACTTTGAATTAAGGATTCAGGTACAATTAGTTTATTTGGGATGTGAAGGACAAGTGAGAAAATGCGGAGAAGGAAGACAGTGAAGGTAACTTAATTAGTAAGCTACTAGTGTAGGCAACTGGCTCTTCTTCATTCTGTGTAGTAGATGCATCAGCTATCCACCCAAGGGGAGAGGAGGCTGGAGTAGTTACGCTCCAATTTCTGTAGTCGTTGGTTGACGGTATCTAGAGGGCAGTGTGCATATGTGGGGCATGGACATGGGGACCTGGTTTTGGCAGTTACAAGAATCATCCAGCAGTAAGGTACAGCTGGAGTTCTTTTCTTTCTGTAAGTGTGGCTGTGCCAGATCTTAGTTGGGGCATGTGGGATCTGGTTCCCTGGCCAGGGAGTGAATTAAGTTCCCCTGCACTGGGAGTCTTAACCACTAGACCACCAGGGAAGCCCTGCAATTCTTGGTGTGTGCTGAAGTGCTAGGTGCAAAGCTATAGGGACTAGTCACCGAAAGGGTCTGCTACAGCCTCCCAAGATGAGGCCCTTTTTGGTTCACTTGTTACCATTTCTTCATCTCCATAAAATTATTCTACTATATGAGTAGAGACAGACTAAGGGGGATAGAGAGAGACATGCAGAGACATAGAGAAAGATATTTGCTACCTAAAACATTTAATGATTTAAGGCCAGCAAATTGTTTTGTGGTGAAAGTTGGAATCTTTGTGGTCTGAGCTTAGGCTGAAAGCTAGTCAATCATGTGAAGGGGAGCAGAATTTGAGCTCCCCCAAAATGCCTCTTTGGCATATGGATTATCTTGAGTTGATTATTTCAAGAAACTTCAGACACAGGAGAAACTCTGAAAATCGTGAACTGTATATTTCCCTTTTTGTAAAAGACATTTACATTCAAAGGGAAACCTCTATTTGTAAGGGTGTTCTCTTTGTACAGAAAGAGAAGGATGACTAAACAAGAAATTCTTTTCAATGAAAATGGTACCTGCTGAAGACAAATCTGCATGACCACCTTCCCCTTATTTCCTGTGCTTTTCCTGGTCACCTCCCATAACTGCCTTCTCTAGCTGGACGTGGTATGTAAGATGGTAACTTGGGCCCTCAGAGAGTTGCTCAGTTTTCCTGGGTATCTCACCTGTTTACAGGAGGAATACATACTAAACTTTTTCTTCCTGTTACTCTGTATTACAGAGAGGTCTCAGCCAAGAGCCTAGAGGGTAGAGGGTAAAATATTTTCCCTCTCCTATTTTTGTAACATTAATAATGAATAATGGCAAACAACCAGCAAAAGAAAAACATGTCCTTCCTGTTCTCCTCCACTATTTACCTTTCAGGCAGGAAACTCTTTAAACATATCTGGTATTGTTACAATTAGTTTTTTTTACTTATTTATTCTTCTATCATATCATTTAGGCAAATAGATGAGCATTATAAGCAGCGATACTGGGCACTGAGTTACTCCCCTAAACCCAGCACGTGTGGTTATCTGTACTTAGTTCAGTTCAGTTCAGTTGCTCAGTCGTGTCCAGCTCTTTGTAACCCCATGGACTGCAGCACTCCAGGCTTCCCTGTCCATCACCAATTCCCAGAGCTTACACAAACTCGTGTCCATTGCGTTGGTGATGACATCCAACCATCTCATCCTCTGTCGTCCCCTTCTCCTCCTGCCTTCAGTATCTCCAAGCATCAGGGTCTTTTCCAATGAGTCGGTTCTTTGTATCAGGTGTCCAAAGTATTGGAGTTTCAGCTTCAGCATCTGTTCTTCCAGTGAATACTCAGGACTGATCTCCTTTAGGATGGACTGGTTGGATCTCCTTGCAGTCCAAGGGACTCGCAAGAGTCTTCTCCAACACCACAGTTCAAAAGCATCAATTCCTCGGCGTTAAGCTTTCTTTGTAGTCCAACTCTCACATCCATACATGACTCCTGGAAAAACCATAGCTTTGACTAGATGGACCTTTGTTGGCAAAGTAATGTCTCTGCTTTTTAAAATACTGTCTAGGTTGGTCATAGCTTTTTTTCCAAGAAGCAAGCATCTTTTAATTTCATGGCTGCAGTCACCATCTGCAGTGATTTTGGAGCCCCCCAAAATAAAGCCTCTCACTGTTTCCACTGTTTCCCCATCTATTTGCCATGAAGTGATGGGACCGGATGCCATGATCTTAGTTTTCTGAATGTTGAGTTTTAAGCCAACTTTTTCACTCTGCTCTTTCACTTTTATTGAGAGGCTCTTTAGTTCTTCTTGGCTTTTTGCCATAAGGTGGTGTCATCTGCATATCTGTACTTAGGAAGAAAGCAAATGCAGTGTCATTTCATTCATGAGTGGGATCCTTGTGGGATTAGTCTGCCTGGGCTGCCATAACAAGATACCACAGATCAGGTAGCCTAAATGACAGAGATTTATTTTCTCACGGTTCTGGACACTGGCAGTCCGTGATCAATGACTGGGTAGGTTTGGTTTCTCCCAAGGCCTATCTTCTTGCCTTGTGGACAGCAGCCCTCTTGCTGTGTCCTTTCATGGTCTTTTCTCTTATTTGATGCATCCCTGGGGTCTCTTCCTCATGAAAGGACTCAACCCAACTGGCCTCATTATACCTTTATCATTTCTTTGAAAGTCTCTCTTTACAAATACAGTCACATGGTTTAGAAGTCACCCAGATAGCATCATTTAATTACCTGTGTAAAGATCGTATTTCCAACTATGGCTCCATTCTAAGTTAATAGGGGTTGGGACTTCAATATATGAATTTTGTGGGGACACAATTCAGCTTTTCTCACTTGTACATAAATCCACTTTTATTGAGAAGTCTCATTTATTCAGTAGATCTTCCATATCAGAATACTATGGTTATCTTTTCATTCCCTCCTGCATGGCAAGGTTCTAATGATAGATTTTGGCTTCATGTGTTGCCATTTCTGTGGTATTCAGAGAATTTTAGAGAGATTCCACCTTGGGGGGAAGTGAATAAAAATTTCAGCTTCTGCAATAGTTGGGAAAGGAAAATATTTTGTGAGGAGAATAGGTCAAAGTGTACCCACGCCCCATCCCACCCCCTCAAGATGACATCATCTATGTGAAAATTTGCTCCACAGATCTGGACTGGACACCACACCTTGGATTTCCACACCTCTGGAAAACTGAATATAGAAAAAGGAGCTTATATTATAACCCAAGTAACTGACTATATTCCAGGAAGCATTTTCTGTTTAAAGTTTGTTAGTTACTGTGTGCTGTATGTTAACCAGTGTTATTGTTGAAGTTCTTGTGGTTAACCTTGAACTTCAAAGCTTCTACACAATTCCTTATGCATTAACGTTTGTTTTTTTGTAGTCTTGGTCAAGGCCTGTCCAGGCTTATTAAAGAAGGAGGTAGGATTCTTGTCCCTGGAGTACTCAGGGCTATTATTGCTTGCATCGATTTTCTTAAAGGAGCGTTAGAAGGGCAATAGGTGGTCACCAAGTGTCAACTTGAACTGTTAACATTTCTTTTTTGTAAAATTAAAATCCCAAACTAAAGGTGACATATCTTTAAACACTCACCAAATGCAAAATAGAACCAGAATTAAAAAAAAAAATCTTGCCATAGAAAGAGACTATTGTTCTCAATTCTACCTTGTCTAATTATTAATGGGAAACTTTAGGGTGTGCTTTGCAGTATAATATGCACACTCTTCATTAAGAATTTTCTCTATATGCTTATTACTCTATCTAAAATCTATTATGCTTGAGACTCACCGTCAGGTTAAGGCACTACAAGGATATGAATGGGAGGGGTCACGTGGAACCAGTATCCATCAGCTCTTGGTGCAACTGTATTAGGTTTGCTTTGGAATAAGATTATGAAGAAAAAAGACATAGAATAGGTAAGTTCTGATGAGAGGGGAGTCAGAAGTATGGGAAGACAGACTATATAGGAAGACAGGTCAAATGGTCTTCAAGGTGGGTTTAGCTGGCATCTAATACCCGACACCAGGTTATAACAAGAGTATTCCATAGCAATAGAGGGAAATTACAATTAATCTTTGGTCACTTCACCATTGTGTGTTTGGCTGGGCATGGCTAAAACTTCTTTCCCAGGTAAAAGTAAGGATCACAGTGGAAGTGTTCTTCACTCATCCTAAGCTTCACCTTTAATCATCTCTCAAAGCATTGTCCACCTCCAGAAATTCTCCCTAACAAATAGGTGGTTGCTGACGGCTTCTATTCTCTCCAGATGATTTCTTCAGGCTACTTTTCCTTGCACCTCTACTCAAATGTAACAGATAAGTCTTCATCTGTTTGCAGCTTTCCAACATAATCAGCATCAGGATAACCAGTGATGAATATGTGTCTTAAAGTGAGACTTTTCAGAAATAGCATCCAGCCAAACCATTTCTCCATGGAGCAGGCAGTTGTCCTCATGGTGATTTGCAAGATGCCATTGAAATGACCCTGTTTTCAAATTCTCTCCTCCCCTTCCACATAGCATCAAGTCCCAAT